GAGCCGCCTGAGCGGCCCCCTAAAAGCATGCCATAGCTCTGTCTCCTCAGGAACGGCTCCAGCTCTTCCCGCCTGTGCCCCTTGCTGAGGGCATTGCTGCTCATTTGGGCTGAAGCCCTGCAGCTCTGGAACCAGGCCAGCTCTGACCTGCCATAAGGAACCTGGTATCAAGCATCCATGACGCTGTGTGTGCAAAGGCTTTGGTTCAGAGCAGAGGCATGGCATGGACAAGAGAGAGCTGCATGTCTTTCTGGCCCTAGAACTTCAAACCCAGAATGAAATTCCTAAAATCACTCAACAGAACACATCCTTCCTGCTTGGACAAATTAGAACATTCCCTGTCACCTTCCTGGTGTCCTGTCTAAAGATTTCAAAGAAAAGAGATGTTCATGTCCAACTGTTTTCCTAATAATAGCAATGACACTGCAGGAAAGATGTGTCCCTCTCCAGCTGAGGGATGGAACATCAGGGATGACCTCAGCCTGTGTCACAGCAGGTTCCCCTGCAGCCCCAGGGACACATGGAGGGAGCCCAGAGGGAGAGACAGTGCTGCCTTGGGCTGGTCCTGTGCTGCTGAGCTGGGCTGGGCTCCTGGGATGGAGGGAGCTGATGGCAAGTGGTCAGCGGTGCAAGAGACAGCTCTGCCCAGGAGCAGCTCCTCTGCAAAGCGCAGCAGGGCTGAGGGCACTGCCTGCAAGTGCTGAGGGGAGAGGAGCGAGGCAGAGAGGGTGTAAATGCAGTCTGGGCTGGGAGGATGCTGAGCACTCACTGCCGCAGAGATCTGCACAGCCCTCTACAAGGTAAGGCTCTGGGGGAAGGACAGTGTAGCTGGTGTTCCTGAAGGATATCCAAAAGCTGGTACATCCTACAGCAGATGTGATCTTTCCGGAGAACTCTCACACTTTCCCTAGTGTAGAGGAGGAGGACGTGCTGCCGAGCAGGGCTTCCCTGCTGCACCCTCAGAGGGACAGAGCATGACGGCTGCTTTCTCTCAGGGATGGCCGCAGGGTGTGAAGCTGGGTGTGCAGCCAGGGGTGCCCAGGGCTGTCCTTCATAGCAGGGTCCTGGTGCACCAGGTAGGGTCATCACTCAGCCTGCCTGGGGAGCACCCCGCATGCTGTGGGGACAAGCTGTGGGTGGAAGTATTAACCCCTGTCTGGGTATGCTCCTTTGTCTGTCCAGAGGGTACAGTGTGTTTCAGGACTGCTCAGACTTCTACAACACTCGGAGGACATTTGCAGAGGGTCACTTTGAAGATGGATGTCAAGGTAGAGGGGTGCCTAAAAGGGTAGAAATCTGTGCATTGAGTTTTCTCCTCTTGGTCAGCTGGGTGGACAGTGGGAGGTTGGAGGTAATTTCTCTGCTTTAGAGTAGGCAATGAGACCCCAGTTCTCGTTAGCACTTGTCTGACCTCCTCCTTACCCCCTGCACACAGAGAGATGTCCCTGGGCCATTCCCTGCTGCCAGAAGGGGTCTGCAGGGCAGAGCTGAGCACACAGCAGGTGGGATGGGGACTGTGAGCACACAGAGGGAGAAGATGTGGGGACAGGGAAACAGGTCCTGGCCAAGAGTTGCTCCAGGCAGCAGAGCCATGGGCAGGAAGGAAGAGAAAACTGCTGCCAGAAATGCTGTGGGAGGAGGGATTCAGGCATCTCCCTACCATCCCCTGCAGTGCAGACACTTCCCCTGGAGCCACCCCCTGGTCTCCTTACTCACACAGCAGAGCCCCTGTCTTCAGTGTCATGGAGGCTTGGCCAGGAGTTGCCTTCCCAGCAGCCTGACCAGCAAAGAGGACAAAACCTCCTGTGTCTGACTTTGTCTCCCTCTCCTGCCTCCCTTGCAAAGGGGTCCTTGGGCATCTTCTCCTCTTCTCCCTACTGCCCTTGTTCTTCCTGTTACACTCCCTGGGGTGTTTGTGGGGGTGAGGATTCAAGTGCAGCTCAGACACCAACGCTGTGTGTGCTGCCATGCACGTCTGTCCATGGAGGAAAAGCATCCCATTCACCCCCTGTGACCCTTTGGGGCTCATGGTACTGCAGTGTGTGCGGCTGGCAGGGATCTCAGCCTCTCTTCAGGAGGTAACAAAGGGAGGAGACGGTACTCATTCCTTGGGACGTCCTGCTGGGCTGCAGGCTTCCCTCCTGGAGGGCAAAGCTCTCTGGTGGTGCCTCTATGTTATGCAGGAGCCCCCTGGAGAAGATCCCTGTGTGCTGAAGGCCACAGAAATGGTGCTGGGTGGCTGTAGGTGAGCAGCTGCCATGAGCCCTGGGTGTCCCTGGTTCAGTGGGCACAACTGAGATCCTCCTCAGGTACAATGGGCTGAGGCGTTTGGAGATCTGCACATGGAAACTGGATTCCTCTGCTCTCAGTAGTACCCTGTTTCTTTTAGGGGGGAACCCCCGAGTGCTATGGTCCTGCAGCTGAACGAGCTGCCAGCACAGGGCAGCTGAGCCCAGGGCTGATGGACAGAGCAGTTGTCCTCCCTCTGCACTCTGGGACAGTCCCTTTGCCTCTCAGGCCCCACAAGATTTCCCTGGCAGTGCAGCAGAAATGCCAGGGATTGCTGCATGAAAATCACTCCTGAGCTGTGGTGGGGCCAGTGGAAGAGAAGACACAAAACAAAATCCCCACAGCTCTGCTCTGCAGTCAGGTGAACTGAGAGTGACAAGACTGAGAATTTCTTTCATATCATGCATGGATTTAATCTGAGATCACTCCAAGTTCCTCTTTACCAACTGCTGTAAGTCAGGACTGAATCATGCAGAGCCCACAGCAGAGCCTCCTGCTCCCTGGGTCACCCTCAGCCAGCACCAGCCAGAGCTCACCGAAGGCCTTCCTAGAAGGGACCCAATGCCCAGGGGCAGCAGATGTCCAACAGCAGCTCCATCACCCAGTTCCTACTCCTGGCATTCATGGAGACACGGGAGCTGCAGCTCTTGCACTTCTGGATCTTCCTGGGCATCTACCTGGCTGCCCTCCTGGGAAACGGCCTCATCATCACCGCTGTAGCCTGCGACCACCGCCTCCATACCCCCATGTACTTCTTCCTCCTCAACCTATCCGTCATTGACCTGGCCTCCATCTCCACCACTATTCCTAAATCCATGGCCAATTCCCTCTGGGACACCAGCGCAATTTCCTATTTGGGATGTGCTGTCCAGCTCTTTCTCTTTACCTTCTTCGTAGCAGCAGAGTATTGTCTTCTCACCGTCATGGCCTATGACCGCTACGTTGCCATCTGCAAACCCCTGCACTATGGGACCCTCCTGGACAGCAGAGCTTGTGCCCACATGGCAGCAGCTGCCTGGGGCAGTGCTTTTATCAATTCCTTCCTTAACACTGCCACTACATTTTCCTTACCCCTCTGCAAGGGCAATGCTGTGGACCAGTTCTTCTGTGAAATCCCCCAGATCCTCAAGCTCTCCTGCTCAGACGCCTACTTCATTGAAGTTGCGCTTCTTGTGGTCAGTGTGTGTTTAGCACTTGGCTGTTTTTTGTTCATTGGGCTGTCCTTTGTGCAGATCTTCAGGGCTGTGCTGAGGATCCCCTCTCAGCAGGGACGGCACAAAGCCTTTTCCACGTGCCTCCCTCACCTGGCCGTGGTTTCCCTCTTTATCAGCACTGTCATGTTTGCCTACCTGAAGCCCCCCTCCATCTCCTCTCCTTTGCTGGACTTTGTGGTAGCAGTGCTGTACTCAGTGGTGCCTCCAGCATTGAACCCCCTCATCTACAGCATGAGGAACCAGGAGCTCAAGGATGCACTGAAAAAGCTGATTCCATCAGTAGTATTTCTTCAGAAGTAATCTTTCCATGTCTCTTTATAGGTGACTTCCAGTGTATCCTCTGCTTTGGGTGTTTTATCTGTGGTAATCATATTTAGCATCCACTCTTCCTCTTGAGAAGCATGAACCCAGTCTGTCTGACGCAGAGGTCCTTACATATGTGTCTGGCCTGATGACACAGCTGGCCTCTCCTGTCACAACTCTGTAATAAAAGGGGGGTTTCTCCTTGATGTTGTCTGGAGGTTGGGCTCTTCTTTCAGAACTTAGGTTAGGAACAGGCTGAAGAAATTGCCCCCCACCCCACTATGCTGCTGTGCTTGGGTTCTCCATGGGCTGGGGGGTGGATGGCATGGGGTTAGAGAATGGGAATGGAGTGAGCTCTCACTGGTGGCCTCCCTATTTGGCCACTTTCAGCATTGGTTGCTCTCCACTGGTTTATGGGTGAATTTGTCTGCATGGTCATTTCCCTCCTGCTGCTGGGCTCAGTGCCTGCCCTGGGGGAATGCCCAGCCCTGCTTGACTTCTCTCCTTGTCCAGACCCTGGCAGGCCCTGGAGCAGGGATGTCTGTGAAACCCCACATGAGATACAGATAAGGCTGGCTTGGTTTCAGGACCTGGTGGAGGCTGTCTCAGAAGGCAGAACCAAAGGGGGACAGGGGACAAGGGGGTGTCATGAAGATTATGTAAGAGAAACTGTTCCTCACACCAAATACACCCTTTGCCATGCTGTGCCTGCATAGTGGGGCCATGGGATCGTGTGTGGGACAGCGGGGATGGGCCAGCACAGAACAGGGCACTGCCAGGGGCACGAAGCTGATGCCAGAGGGTGACCACGTGGAGTTGGTGTCTGCAAGAAAAGTCAAGAGCAAAGAGAAGAGCTTCAATTGCTGCGTTAGAACCTATGGCTGAAGAAGGGAAATGCAGGGCTGCTGCTGAAAGAGGGCAGTGATCTGGTAAACAGGAGACACCAATGGGGCTGTGTCCTTGTTTCCTCTGGGATAGAATTAATTTTCTTCCTGGTGGCTGGTGTAGCGCTGCTTTTTGAATTTGGTAAGAGACTAATGTTGTTACTAAACTGATCTTTTCATTGTTTTAAAGTAGTGCTTTCATCAGTCAAGGACTTTTTCAGCTGCCCACGCTCTGCCAGGTACACAAGAAGCTGGGCAGGGGCACCAACTGACCCCAGCTGACAAAAGGGATATGCCATACCATATGACGTCATGCTCAGTATATCAGCTGAGGGAAGAAGAAGGAAGGGGGGGACATTGAAAGTTATTACATTTGTCTTCCCAGGTGACCATTACACGCCATGGAGCCCTGCTTTCATTGAGAAGGATGAACACTCATCTGCCCATGGGAAGTAGGGAATGAATTCCTTGTCTTGCTTTGCTTGCACATGTGGCTTTGCTTTACCTATTAAACCATCTTTATCTCCACACATGAGTTTTCTCACTTTTACTCTTTCGATTCCCTCCCCCATCCCATTGTGGGTGGGTGGTGTTCAGTTGCCTGCTGGGGTTTAAACATTGGCAGGCTGAGAGACTCAATACCATCTTTGCCTGAGTCTTTACTGAAAAGGTCTCCCAAGGCCTCTGTGCTCAATGAAGGGTTTCAAGGAGGAGGAGAGCATGTAATGTCAGGAACCTCAGGAAATCCCAAAAGGACAAATGTTGGTTTCTGCTCTTACAGGGGACTCACCCTGGCAATGGCACAGGCTGGGAGCTGCCTGGGTGGGAGCAGCTCTGTGGGAAAGGGAAGGGTGGTCAATGAGCTGGACAGGAGGCAGCCATGTTCCCTGGCAGGAAGGGAGGCCACCAGCATCCTGGGCTGGATGACCAGGAGCACACCCAGGAGGTCAAGGGAAGGGATTCTCTGGAATGCTCCATCCAGATTTCACATCCCAAATTCAGGAGCGCTACTGGCAAACTGGAGTGAGTTTAACAAGGGCCCTCAGGACAGCCAGGGACTGGAGCACTTTGCCAGTGGGGAGAGGATGAGGAGCTGGATTTGTCCAGCTCAAGAAGGGAAGGCTGAGAGGGACCTTATCCCAGCCTGCCAGTACCTGCAAGGAGGGTATAGAGACTACAGAGCCAGGCTCTTAATGATGGTTATCTTGGGAGGATAAAAAACAATAAACCTTCAGCCTGGAGATAAGGAAACCTTTTTTTCACCATGAGGCTGAGCTCCTCACTCCTGGGCTCTTCCTTCCAAATGAACCCAATTGAAGAGAAAGTCCCAAGAAAGCCCAACCCATGGCCAGTTTCTAGAGGCATCCCTCACTGAGCAGTGCTGGGGCCAATGTTGTCTGACACCTTTAGTGATGGCTCAGACAACGGGACAGGGGTCACACTCAATAGGTTTGTGGATGACACATAACTGGGGGGAGCCCTCCATTGAGCAGGGGGCGGGGAGGGCAACTAGGTGATGCCCAGAAATCTCCCTCACATGTAATTACTCAGTAAATCTTTACCGACAATTCTCTGTAAAGACAAAATAGGTGAAAGAAGAAGAAAGGGCGGAGAGGCTGCAGAAGGGATGGGAAATACGTCAATATAGAGGTAGTCGTTTTCCAGAACGGAGTTCCTCCACTCAGAGCACTGGTAGGAAATGTATTTTGATGAACAACTGCATATAAATATGTTGGCAGAGGGAAATTAAAGTAGAGTACTCATGTGGTCCAACCAAATATAAAAAATAACAAGAAGATTGTTTTCAGTTCTTGCCTAGAATAATTTTTAAGCAGGTTTCAACTCAACAGTAAGAGCTCCATTCAGGTCTGGATTCATGTGCCCACATACGGAGGCTGTTGCTGCCTGAGCTGCCCTGGGCTTACCCACCCATAAGGTGCTGGGAAATGTGACCCAGGGCTCCTGCCTAGAGCGTCGGTTGGTCACCAGGAAATGCCCAGGCATCTCAACTGAGATAACCTCTTTCTCTCCATTGACTACAAAGGCAAGCCTCGACAACTCGGTTAGATGTCGATGTCTGCATTGAGGAGTTGGGTGTTGGGTAAGGACAATCTTGTGCCTTTCATCACCTAAAAGAGACAGACAATTCATGTACCCCAGGGGGAATGTGAAGGGAGTGTGTCTTGCTGATTTAGGGACTGCTTCTAGAAGTGCTGGTAGCACAAAGATGTTGGCCATGCAGAAAGAGAGTGTTTCACTGAAGACGGTCACCCTTCATCTCTGTAACAGTCGAGAGAGCCGAGCACCTTCGAGTGGGACTGCCTCTGTGAAAGGGCAAGCAGTGGCAAGGACAGTCCTGGGCAGGGAGTGTTTTAGGGCATTGAACTCCAGGTGAGACACAAAGATACTGGTTTTAATGTGATAGGTTTGATTATGACAGAATGGGGCTCAGAAATTGTCAAAAAAATAGAAAGTGAAGCAACAAAGAAACTAAGGAAACACATTAAAGGGAAGGAAATGTTCTACTTCTGTGCTAGGTTGACCCTGGTTGGATGCCAGGTGCCCACCACAACCACTCTATCACTCCCCCTCCTCAGCTGGACAGGAGGAGAAAAATGCAACAAAGGCTCATGGGTCGAGATAAGGACAGGGAGATCATTCAGCAATTACCGTCACAGGCAAAACAGACTCAACTCAAGGAAATTAATTTAAATTATTGCCAATTAAAAGTCAGAGTAAGATACTGAGAAATAAGAACAATCTGAAAACACCTTCCCCCCACCCCTCCTTTCTTCATGGGCTTAACTTTGCTCAGATTTTTTTCTCTACCTCCTCCCTCCCAGTAGCACAGGGGGATGGGGAAAGGGGGTTGGGGTCAGTTCATCACACGCTGTCTCTGCTGCTCCTTCCTCCTCAGGGGGAGGACTCCTCACACTCTTCCCCTGCTCCAGCGTGGTGTCCCTCTCATGGGAGAAAGTCCTCCATGAACTGCTCCAACATGAGTCCTTGCCATGGGCTTCAGTTCTTCATGAACTGCTCCAGTGTGGGTCCATCCTTTCCACGGGGTGCAGTCCTTCAGGAGCAGACTGCTCCAGTTTGTGTCCCTCATGAGGTCACATGCCAGCAAATCTGCCTCAACGTGAGCTCCTCTCTGTATGGGGTCACAGGTCCTGCCAGGAGCCTGCTCCAGCACAGGCTCTTCATGAGATCTCAGCCTCCTTTGGGTGCATCCCCCTGCTCTGGCCTGGGGTCCTCCCCTAGCTGCAGGTGGAGATCTGCTCCACTGTGGACCTCTGTGGGCTGCAGGGGGACAGCCTGCATCACCATGGTCTTTACCACAGGATACAGGGGAATCTCTCCTCTGTGACAGCCACCCAACAGGGTGTGGCAGGCAGGAGGGCAGGCCGTGCTCATGGACACCCTGCTCAGCCCTGTCTCCTCTGGACCAGACCTGACTCCAAGCAGCATGTCACCTCAGAACCAGACCTGGGACTTCAGCCTGGGGGGTTTCACCTGGAAAGAAGAGCCCAGGAGTCAGCTCATACCCGGGCTGTGTGTGGGCTGATCAGGTACCTGGAGGCCAAGAGGAGGAAGGAACCAAGTCATTTAAAAGTGCTGTGAGGAAAAATTATTCTGAAGGAGGGTCAAGACCCTCTGCCAGCTGTAAGAGGAGCCTGCACAAACAAGAGTGGAAAGACACACAAAGAGCACTTGCCTAAAACAAGTGGAGACAAATCCCACTTGGAGTCCATTTGACACGCACCAGAAGAAACTCCTTGCTGTCCACAAACACTGGGAAGGTCTTAAATAGTCACAGGTGGGATTCAGTTCCCTGATGCCCAAAACACATGAGTAGGGGCTTCAGAGTCTAGATACTGGCCTTTGAGATGGTTAAAGCTGGATGCAATGAACTTCAGGGGTCATACAGAGCTGTCTGAGGCAGTGCCTCCTGCCCCCCCCCTTACAGTCCCACAAGTGGAGGAGATGTCACTCGACAGCTGTAGAGGGTGATAAGGTCTCCCCTCAGCCTCCTCTTCTTCAGACTAAACGACCCCAGTTCCCTCAGCTGCTCTTCGTAAGACTTGTGCTTCAGACCCTTACCAGCTTTGTGGC